GAGGTTCCCTAGTGAGGCAGGTGGGGTAATCTAACTGTCTCTCCTCCCACAGGGTGAGACCTGACTCCTGGGAGGAACTGGGACTTGGGAAGTCTCTTCGCCTCGGTGGGGGGATCGGATGACATCCTGGTTGACGCAAGGTCGGTTCTAATTCTGCTGGGCTCCTGGGTGCCGAGGTGGAACCAGCTGTTGGTTTTGTGGCAGTGGAGGGAATTGCTGGTAGAAGAAATACTATTGGAATTGCTAAACCTGTTGCATCTAGATCTGGATTGTCCGGACGCACTGCACCAGGTCATTGAACTAGGATGGTCTAACTCCGGGGGGAACCATAGAAGGCTCATAAAAGGTTGCGCCTACCACTGAGGGAAGTAGGGCGTTCACCTGTGTAGTGTTCGGTGGCACGGTTAGTGTTGGAACCCTAGTCGCAGTAAGCGGGATGGTGAACTGGCCGATGCACACCGAAGGGAGTTGGGGTTGTCCTCCGGAGATGTTTATCTCGCTGCTTTGTCCAGCGTGACTAGAAGATGTCATTGACGTAGAAGGTTGATGATTGTAAAAAAGGAGATGACTTTTCGGTCGGTTCCCACAGATGACACCAATTGATGTAGCGTGATCTGACTACTCCCTGTTGGATGATGATTTGGCTTCCAATCGAGCAGCAAGCTAGGTGAATTTGCAAGACAACGGATCAGAGAACCCGGGGTGGCTAACCCGGCGAGGTCGCTCCGATGCTTAAGTTAGTGTATTGTGGTGAAAGCTGAATGCTTTGAGAATTCGAGAGCTGGAGAGCTAGAGAGTAGTGAAATCTCGCGTACTTGGGCCCTGGAGGGGTTGTTGCTCTTATATAGTTGAGCTCCCGCGGATTGGTTCCGGGATCTTCGTCATGAGGGGATCCGTTTCCACTTTAATTGGGGAGTAATGTATCAATTAATAAAGTTTATCAATTCCGCTCGATCCGGACAGGGAGAAGATTAGGCATGCCGTTACGCGGCGTGATCCCGTAAGGTTCGGAGTCTACTGGGGAAACTTCCAGAGTCGTTACGTGGCGGTTCGGGTCGGTAGCCCCGAGCTGATACTTCGGTTCTTTAGTTCCGAGTTAGATTAAATGCTAAGGTGCCCCGACACTGAGGTGATTTTGTGCCGAGGTGACCGAGTACCCGAGCTCAAACGTTGCGAACTAGGCTTATTGGGCTGAGCTGTCATCCTTTAGTCAAGTTGTGTCCACGTGCCCTCTTTTCACTAGGTCGGGCCAAATCACCCTTCATCGGTTACAAATCTACTCTAATCCAAATACAACTTAAATGTAATTTCAATTGCATGGATTTTGAATCCTTTCCACTTGAATATCTTAATCCAAGGTCAAAACCACCTCAATGGTATCCTGATTGACAACCAAAAAAGGGGGACTACTAGTTTAAAGATATGAACTGTTTTAGCATAAAAAAATATATGGTATTAAATTCTATCATTTATTTCTTATAAATCTTTGTTTCCTACATTCAGTCTCATAATTCTAGTTATTAGGTAAAGGGTTGACTGATATTTTAAAGATCAATTGGAGCCATATTTTCCTTCATACTCTAACGAATTAATTTGATATTCTTAGCACTTTGAAGTTTGAATAAATAAAAACTTGATATACATAAAGTAAATAATAACAATATAAATATAGAAAACTTTTATAAAATTTATGGAATATTTGAGCATGTCATTAATGTTACATATTTGTCATATTAGACAAAAAGTATGTATGAGGATAAGAATAGTTGCCATTAATGATAGAAATGGCAAAAAATAAAAAATAAAAAAAGGAAGAGAATAAATATCTTATACATGTTCTATTGAGTATTGACCAAGTCAAATAGGTTAACCGTTTAATTAGAGTTGTTCACCAAGTCAATGGTTTTCTTTTTTTTCTTTTTTTTGAGTGACATGTCAATCAATTTTATTTTCCAATTCAACAGCAAGTTGAAAACGCTAATATAGACCACAAAACAAGAAGATTTAAATTAGCTCAAGTTATGTTGAAAGTAGGTTAGTTTTAAAAAGGGCTTTCTAAACATAATATTTAGGGTCTCTGTTGGGGGAGCCGAACTGAAGATAAAACTTTGGTTCAGCTACATAAAATGACATAAGCCATGTGGGTGTTTGATACTAGAGCATTTTACAAGCGTTCCGCTAATGTTGATGTATCATTCACACAACATCAGCAAAATAAATGGAATCGGTAAGAAAGTCACATTTTGGCAGTATGCTTTTCCAAAAAAAAAAAAATTCATTTTTGCAATTATTAGCTCTAGGATTCAAGAAAAGGAGGGGTTTCTCGAAACATCAATTTGATTTTTCTTGAATCGCCTTGGTGATCTTGAATCACTAAGGTGATGTCGCACATAAGAATTTAAAAAATCTCACTTCTTTTTGATATGTCATACAATTGTCATTATAAATATAATATAATAACATGCCAAATCACTTTGAACTCCCAGTTTGGAGTCCACATTATCACCTTGTCTAGGAATCTAGATATGCTCCTCAAGAAGGGGTCCTCACACCAACCTCACAACACGTCCCAGTTGTATGTCAAGAACATCTCATGCACTTATGTGTTGTTATTTGTGGGGAGATGTTTCCAGTATATAGTGTAACTAGTCATTACTCGTGCGATACACGGGCTTTATTTATAAGCAACATTGAAGATGAGGCTTTATGACACTTCCAATTAAATGGTGTCCATCTAAGTTCAATTCAAGTATTATTTTTTTGGGTTATGTATAGTTTATCCAGTCACAATCAAAGTTATGCTTTAGTGACAATGGCTAATTTCCTATTGTCTATATAGATTTGTATTTTTTTTTTTGGTATGTTAATGGTGTCCATCTTTAGTGAGAGTATTCTCTACTAATTTATTTTGTTAGACAACTTTCAAAGAATAAATCTCCTTACTAGTTCTTCTTGAACAAAGTAAGGTAAAAAGGATGAAGTGAAGTGAAATTAATGCATTGCATCAACATTTTTATTTGTAATGCTAACGAAATGAATGTATTTCACATTTTTTTTTTCAAAACAATAGGGAAGGTTTCTGTTAAGGTAAAAAAACTGAACTCTTTACTAGTAATTGCAGTTGATAGGGRGGGGGGGGGGGTTGTTAACAATTATTAGTTTTAAAACTAATTTTTATTATCAAATTAAAATTATATTATCCCCAAAACATTGAGGAGAATATTAAATGGAAATAGATTATTTAGCACAATAATATATCATTGAATATCTCGATTTCAATATAATTAATATTTACTAATAATTACAGTTTAATGCAAATATATGTAATATATATAGTTCAATTTAACTATATATAGTTAATTATTTTATACAATTTAATTGAATAATGGAGGTGAGGGAGAATTAATGGAATGAGTTATTAAAGAAGTGAGTTAAAGACATAATTAATGACGAGAGTTTATTAAAATAGTTAATGGGAAAGAGGATAACGAGAAGGTGAGAGTTAATGGTATATTAATAAGAAGTGTTAAAAGTCAATCACCTAGTTATTTTGTTCAATTTAAAATTAAGAGTCTGTTTGGTTTGCAATTGGAATCGTAATGGTATATTCATATAGTTTGTTTGGTTCAGGTAGGAACGTGAATGGAAATTGGAATTAGCAGGAGAGGGATTTCATTCCCAAGGGAGGGGTGGGGAATGGCCATTCCCTCAAAACAGGGGAATGCCATTCAAGTAGGAATAGGAATAGGATTCCAATTCCGTCCAACCAAACAATTGGAATCGGAATAACACAATTTAATTCCGATTCCAGACCACTATTCATACAAAACCAAACAAGGCCTAAAAAATTTAAAAGAAAAAAAAAGATAAGTGACAAAGCAAAATAGCATGGTTTTTAAAACCGACCCAGAGATCGAACCAGTTAGGGGTCTGGTTACCGACCTATTCTGACAAAAAAAAGGTAAAAAACCGCCCAGTTCAGCGGTTTGTTGACCAAAATCAACATTTTTTTGAGAAAATTTGGTTTTTTGGGGGGAAAACGAAACCGATCACCTGACCAGTTCCCGATTTTTCCGGTCCAGCTATCCGGTCTGATCCGGTTTTGAAAACCATGCAAAATAGTGCCAGCTTGGCATGCACATTACATTTTAATATATAAAAGATAAGAAGATATAGATATGCAATGAGATAGATGTGAGGTGCACTTTGTGAGGAGCAAATCCCAATCCCTTCTTTTAATTTCAAGTAAGACACAAAATGCAATGGAGATCAGATCTTCTTATCATACATGGCGCCTCACAAAGACCTCACAGGTACATTCTACAGTGTATTAGGAACATTTCCCATAATTATGTGTTATTATTTACGGGAGATGTTTTCAATGCATGGTGGGATGTGCATGTGAGGTCACTGTGATGCGCCCAAGGTTCAAGGTTCCCGGGTCGAATGATCCAATTGTTCGAGTCGAATAAACGCCCTGTTCTGACTTCTGACAAAAAATAAAAAAAAAACCAAACTGTTGAACAGTTTTAACGGTCTAATCGCCTCGACAGTGATTTGCTGACCAAATCAATGGTTTTGGAGTAAAACGAAATCGTTACCTGACCGGTTCCCGATTTTGAAAACCATGCAATGGCCACGCTCACAACGGAGATCGGATTCAGTATTCACATATAACATATTCCCAACGCACAGCTGCAAGTGTCTGTGAGGACGGTGTGAACATGGTACCGAATCGAAGATCCTCACAACGCAACCAAGCATCAAATCTATGACGGTCCGGCTCCGAGTGGCTCCGAGTCTGACGACGTTGCTTGAAAAAATAGAACGGTGGAGTGGAAGGGTTTATTGCAAAACGTTGCTTGCAAGTAACGAGCAGAAAAAGAAAGGGAAATGAATTTTACGGTGAAAGCATGGAGCAATGGAAGAGCACGGGTAGGAGTTCTTCATGCGGGCGGCTGCCCCACTGCAATAGAGACGCCCTGTCTTCTTCTCTCCACCAGAAAGGGACTGCCCGTTTTCATCTCTCCTGATATCCTTCCATCTCTTCCTTCACCCGATTCTCATCTCCTTCAAACGAGTCCTCTTCACTTGTAAGTCTACACTGAACTCTTCCTTGCTTTTTTTCGTGCTTTGCAGGGACCGGGTGTCTAAAACAATGCACATATGATGCTTGTGCTTTGGTTTCTGGGGTTTCAGTAGTTGTATTCACTCTATGATCCACAACAATCCCATCTTTGTATTTTTCTTTGTTGACCATTTACTTTTTGGTGGGAACCTTTAATGGCTTGATTTCAGAACTGTGATCAGTTTTCATACTCCGACAAGAAGAGGGCAAAGTTTATGGACCCGAATCGTCTCGAAAACCTGCATGACAACTGTTTCTCCTGTGTTATGGGTTTGATTGGTTTTGCAAGCAATGTTGTAAATGCGGGCTCTCAAGGTCACAGGCATTAGGCAACACCATTACCATCTGGGCATCTGCACAGAATGACAGTGATGGTGGCACCGTATTACCATGAAATCGTTATGGATAGAATTGTTCCTTTAAGTTTAGCCTGAACTGGACACTAAAGTTGCTACCCCTGCTTTTGGTTCAAATTCTAATAGCGATGAAGCAAATCCTTTATGCTGTAAGTCTGTAAGTACATTTTGTCTTTAATAGAACGAAATTATTTTGCACCAGTTTCTTGTACGCGCGCATCAAATCATAAGACTGTAATTAAGTCGTAGTGGGGTGGGTGGGGGATAGGGATAAAAAACAGTATCCATTCTCCAAATCCCAATCAGAGTCCCTGTCATGCATCCGTCACCTGGCATTGGGAAATATTCCCCCAATCACCCTGTGAGCTAACGTCGAAAAGCCAATGATTGGGCGGTTACCATTTCCAATCATTTCAGTTATGATTTTGCTGATGTGTCAATCATTTGTAACCAACTTTACTTATAAATAGTGAAATGAAGTAAAGATAGCTTGCCTTTTTGAATTAAAATTTCCTTGCAACCTTCTTTTGGCTCTCCGGTGTCTCCCCTTTGAGCGGTGTCGCCACTATAGCTTGGGGAAACCCAAGCCTCTCTTCCCGACAACGAGAAGAGGTCCATGACATTGTGGTATCAGAGCAGGTGGTCTCATGGGATTTCCAAGAGGCTGGTCTCTAGGAGCGACTCAACAGCATGGAAAGGTCGCAAGAAGCTCTGCAAAGGACCTAGGAAGCTATCCTGAAGCAATTGGCGGAGATCACCGACTGCCTGAATCGGTAGGGGACGCGAATAGAGATATTAGAAGAATCTAATGCAAGGGCAGCTTTTGGTGGACCAGGAATGAATGAGGAAGGCTCCATGTAGTCAGGTAGCGGCACATGCACCCCATTGATGTTCTGGAAGGTGGACCTACCCAAGTTCAACAACACTGGCCTGGAGGATTGGTTGCTTTTGGTTGGACAATATCTGGAGATTCAGGAGATATCGAAGGAGCGTTAGGTTATGATGGACAGTTTGGGGTTCAAAGGTAAGGTGGAATGGTACAACTGGTTCAAGGAGTACCAACCAAACCCCACCTAGTCGCAACTCTTTACAACTTTGGAGATAAGGTCCATCAGACCACTGGGAAGCAACTACGCTGGTCGTATCTCCAAATTAAGCCAAGGGACAACGGTGTAGGACTACATGGAAGAATTCTAGAGCCTCTTGAGTTGGGTTAAAGGGCTGTCCGAAGTTGGGTGTTTTGTCTCATGGTTAAAGACGAAGATCCGAGCTGGTATGGAAAAGCTAGAACCTCAAACTCTGGCACGAGCTTTCCACTTGGCCCTTCTTGAGGAAGAGTGGAACACACGGAAGAGAGCAGTTCGAGCAGATCTTCCCCGTGGAAAACCCCCTTTAACCATGAGAACCTTTCCTACCAAGCCCATCGCTAGGACTCGGAAGTTGGTCTCACCTGAGATTAGGAAGATGACACCGATGAAAGAAAAAGAGAGGAGGGAAAAGGGGTTATGTTTCAACTGTGATTTATGCTATGTACCCGACCACCGTTGCAAGAATCAGAATCTATTCTGGATTATAGCCAACCTAGAGGATGGGGAGGTTGTTGAAGAAGCTGAGCCCGGCCCTGAGATATCCTTTCATGCCATTAATGGGATGGAAAATCCCTAAACCATGCAAATTTGAAGTACTGTTAGTGCTTCTCATATTATCATATTAATTGATAGTGGGTCCTCCCACAATTTTTTGGATCCCAAGATAGCAAAACAGGTGAAGGTGCCTTCGGCGGCGTGTGAAAAATTTATAGTAATAATAGCTAGTGGGGAGTGGATGAAAGGTTTTAAGAGGTGCGATCAAGTAGCTGTGGACCCAAGGAGTGCTGCTACAAGTGAATTTCTATTTGCTGACTCTGTTGGGCTTTGACGCAGTCTTAGGGCTCATTGGTTACAGACCTTAGGAGATGTCACCTGGAACTTCTTTAACCTTACCCTGAGCTTTTGCGATGGTCAGGGGGTAAAGCTATTGTAGGGGTTGAGGCAAAAGGAGTTGGAAGTAGTGGAAGGGAAGAAGGTGCAATGAGATTTACTGAAGGTTGGATATATCTATATACTCCAAGTGGTAACCAAGGAGAGCATGGGGGAATAGCGTATTGCCAGTCCTCAGACATAACAAGTATTAGATGATTATGCTGATGTCTTCGAAGATCCAATAGGCTTGCCTCCTCTAAGAAAAACTAATCATGCCATTCCTTTAATAGCAGGGGCCAGACCAGCATTTCAGTGACCTTATCGATATCCCCACTATCAAAAAGGGGAAATTGAGAAGGTAGTTAAGGAGATGTTGGGATGAGGAGTCATTCGGCCAAGCAACAATCCATATGCTTCCCTAGTCCTTGTGAAGGACGGTGGATGGAGGCTCTGTATAGATTATAGACAGCTTAACATGGTGTGTTAAAGATAAGTATCCCTTGCCAATTATTGATGATTTGTTGGATGAGCTACATGGTTCGGTGATTTTTTCCAAGCTAGATTTCCAATCAGGCTATCATCAGATTTTGGTCAGGGAGGAACAGTCCCAAAACTGTTTTTAGAACCCATGAGGGGCATTATGAGTTCTTGGTGATGCTGTTTGGATTAACCAATGCCCGTTCCACTTTTTAGGTGTTAATGAATGAGGATTTTTGAGACCTCCTCTGACGGATAGTGCTGATTTTCTTGGATGACATCCTTATATATAGTAAGACCGAAGTAGAACACCTAACCTACCTTCGGGAGGTGCTTATCCCTTTCAAAGAGCATCGACTGTATGCTCTCTTTGGGGTTGACCAGGTGAGCTATTTAGGCTACATCATTTCTTGCAAATGAGTAGAGGTTGGTTCGTCCAAAGTAGAATGTATGCAGTCATGGTCGTTACCTTAGAATGCCATTAAGCTCAGGGGATTTCTAGGTTTAATAGGGTATTATTGCAAATTTGTCAAGAACTACGACAAGATAGCCAAGCCCTTGACAGATTTACTGAAGAAGGGAACATGGAGATGGAACTCGATAGCAGAGGAGGCTTTTCAAGTTCTCAAAATCGCATTGACCACCATCCCTGTTTTGGCAATGCCTGCTCCCAACCATCACCTCGGATTGCGAAGCAAGCGGTGTCGGGATTGGTGTGATACTTTCACAAGGAGGGAGGCCAATTGCTTATTTTAGCAAAGCATTCATCCCTAGAAACTTAGCCATGTCCACTTATGACAAAGAACTGTTAGCCATTATCTTTGCTATTCAGAAATGGCGACAATACATGCTTGGGCACAAGTTTGTAGTGCGCTAAGACCACCAAAGCTTGAGACTCTTCTGAACCAGAAGGCTAACACCCCTTATCAGCAGAAGTTACTTAGTAAAGTATTGGGCTACAATTTTGAGATCAAGTATTAGAAAGGGAAGGATAATGCAGCCGCGGATGCCCTGTCTCGGGCAATAGGGAGCGAATTGCTAGCCATCATCGAGCTAGTGCCTGATTGGGCGAACAATTGAGGGAAGAAATGAAAACAGATCCTGCACTCATGGCCTCGGTGGATGAACTACAGAGGAAAGGAGGAACAAAAGGGAAATATCAAGTGAAGGACAGTTTGCTATGGCGCAATGGTTGGGTAGTTCTGGGAGAAAATTCATCGTTGTGTTAGAGATTGTTTGATGAACTTCACTCCTCGTCTCTCGGGGGACATGAGGGATTCCACAAGACTATGCATCGACTCAAATGAGCATGTCACTAGAAAGGGTACAAGAAATAGATCAAGGAATGGATCAGACAGTGCGATGCCTGCGAGAGGAACAAAGGTGAGAATTTACCCGTGCTAGGTCTCTTGCAGCCTTTACCTATTCCAAACAGGAACTGGACAGGAATTTCCATGGATTTTATTGAATGGCTCCCACCTTCGAACAGAAAAAATGATCATAGTCGTGGTGGATCGACTATCGAGGTAACCATTTCATCACTTTGCAACATCCTTTTACAACACAAGATGTAGCTAGTGATTTAAAAGGTGCACCTAGGTGCACAAGTGAGGCACATTTTAGGGTAGGCGCCTCACTTAGGTCCTAGGCGCAACACTTTCAAAAGGCGCATGCTTGGATGCTTGGTGTGCCCAGGCGTGCGCCTTTTGAAAATTGTATGCGTTTTTGCTAATATTGTTCATTCACTCATCTTAATAAAATATCTTCATAAAAGGCAAATAAAATTATAAAATCATTATGTTTTGTGTGAGAATTAAGAATTTAAGACCCTAACATGGACTTGTTTAGGCTTGCCTCGAGGGGCATGGCACAAAGGCAACTCGTAGAATCAGGAATGTAATATGCTTTACATCACATTAGCTACTTGAAGTAATGCAATTGAGGAAAAAAAGAGATTGTGGGCTTTACATGCTTGAAAATGTTTTATATGTTTGATTTTATTTTTAAATTTTCATTTGAATATGCTTTACATGTTATATTTATGCATTTTAATTTTAGATAATAGTTTTTTTTAAACCATTAATTTAAAATTTAAGTTTATATTTCTTATTAATATTATGTTCAATATTTTTGGTTTTTTTTGCATTGTTTTGAAAATTTGGCATTTTTTTTATTTTTGTCGACATTTTTATTTTTAGCATTTTTTTTTTTGTATTTTTGCACCTTGATTCAAAAAGGCGTGCACCTCACCTTGTGCCTTGCGCTTTTAAAACACTGGATGTAGCTCATGTTTTTCTCGCAAAAGTCTTCAGATTGCATGGGATGCCTACCAATATCGTCAGCGTTGCGGCTTGGTCTTTATAGCTACAGGACTCTTCTGGTAGGAGCTATTTCGTTTGCAAGGCACCCAACTCAGCCTTGTAGACGAAATAGCATCCGCAGTCTGACGGGTAGACTGAGATAGTGAACAAAATGTTGGAGACGTACCTATGATGCTACGTTAGGACCCAACCGTAGCATTGGACCCATTGGCTGCCATTAGTGGAGTGGTGTTATAATACCTCAGTTCACTCTTCCATGAAGATGGCACCCTTTCGAAGTAGTTTATGGGTATGGCTTGCCCACACTTCTAACCTTTGTCCCTGGAAGAGAGGGAGAAGACATTGCAACTATTAAGAGAGAACATGACCTGGGCCAAGGAAATAATGAAGAGATTTGC